AGCTCATCCCAACATTACACTCATTGAGACCTTTCATTTGAGTACCCATATCAATTTTTGATATATTTTATATATTTATATATATTATATATATGTATATATGAAAAATATATCAAAAATGCTTGTGGGTACTCAAATGAAAGCTCTTGATAAATATAACATCAAGATGAGCTTATATTTTTAAAAACGTCAATATTTAAGAAAGTACAGTGCAATTTAACAAAATTAATTATTTAAAATTGTTAATTTTTTAATTTAATTACAGAAGACGGATTGATTGCTGCTGAAGAATACCGATACAACTGTGCTACGCGTATCCCTCTGGACAGCATCGAAGCTCTTAATGAAGCTTATCAAAGTCTTTTAACCGTAAGTAAATAAAAAAATGAAAAAAGAAAATTAATAAATTAAATAATAAATAAAAATAAATCTTCAGGATGATGACAGAAAACGAGGCGGCCTTACTCTAGCGCGCTTCCAAGAGCTTTACGCACAATTTTTAGGTAATCCTGACGAAACTTGCCCCGCGGTTCATCTATTTGGGCCTTTACAAGAATTATGTTAATTTAATTAATCTGTAAAAAAATTTTAATTTATTAATTATAAATGTAAACCTCAGGAGACATTTAACGAATAAAATTTTATTTACTCATCAAATATCTCTTATTTATTTTTTAATTAAATTAATATTATTATTATTATTATTATTATTATTAATATTATTACAATAGCGCACATTTATTTTTATGGATTACAAAATTGCAGTAAATTAATTTTTTAGTTATTTTTAACAATATTAATTACAATAATTTTTTTATTATTAATTCACATTAATCATCATGACATTTATTTTATTTTATTCATACATAAACCATACACAGACATGCAATTTTTTTTTTTCAGTTCAATTGTAATTTAAATAATTACAAAAATGATATTCAAATTATTGATAAATCCAGAAAATTTTATTACAATTTTTTTAATTGTAAAAAATTTTAATTTTTTAATTGTATTCTTACTGATTTTTTTTTTTTAATAAAAAATTTTATTTTTTTTATTTTAATTTTTTAATTAAATTTTTACTGATTTTTTTGTTTTAATTTTATAAAATATTTTAATTTATTTTTAATACTCATATTAACATACTTTGTTCACGGATTAATTATTAAAAATATCAAACTTGATATATATATATATATATATATATATATATATATAACATTACCAATTATTCCACATATTTATATATACCAACAAATTATCTAAAGCTTTGAAATATAATTTAATAATTTTCATTCAATACTTATGTTCTATTATATTAATTAATAACAATAAAAAAAAATTTAAGCCGTCACACCAAACCAATATTACTTAATATTAATATAGTTACACCAATACTATTATATATTTATTTAAATCTAATGATATATAAAAAAAAAATGTAAATTCATCGAAAGAATTTTAAACTGTTTTTTTAAATGAATAAAAATTTACAACAGACCTACGCCGGAAATTAATAAATAATAATAAATTGTACTTTTCTAAAATGCAGAACTTATTTTTAATTTTATTTATATATTATGATTTTTAATTGTAAGAAATAGATATTAAGTTAGTCTCAAGTAAAAAATATAATTTTATTTGTTGGTTTGTTTGTAGTTTTTTTTTTTTTTTTTGTTGGGTTAATTTATACTGGCGTAGGAAGTGATTGAGACGCTGGGAGCATTCTGGATAAGAGGAGTTGCGGGATCAGCGATGTGACCTGAGTTCTCAAGGTCATTGCTGTCGCGGTTGTTGTTAATGCTCTCGGTGTTGATACGACGGATTCGTCTCTTTCGTTTGCCGGACATCACGTCTGGAAATTGTTAAAAATTATTTTATTATAATTAAAATAAACAAATTAATATTGAAACTTTTTTATAAATTTAAGCGTAACTTCTTAATTATTGAAGTTTTTAAAGATATAAGCTCATCTTGATGTTAGAAACATCAAGAGCTTTCATTTAAGTACCCACATGCATTTTTTTATATATTTTCGATATATACATACATATATAACATATATTTCAACAATATAAGCTCATCTTGATGTTACATTCATCAAGAGCTTTCATTTGAATACCCACATGCATTTTTGATATATTTTTCATATATTTATATATATGATATATATATAAATATATAAAATATATGAAAAATTGATGTGGGTACTTAAATTAAAGGTCTTGAAGAGTGTAATGTCATGGTGAGCTTATATCTTAAAAAATGTCAATATTTTACAAGATACAATGTCATTTTTTAATTAAAGAAAACTAATTAAGCATATATTTAATTGTTTTTTCAAATTTTATAACAAATAAATGATGGCAAAAGATTTTGAAGATGAAATTTTTTTAAAATAATTTTTTCTTTAATTTAATGACATTAAAATTTGATATATTTTTTATACATACATATATATAATATATATATATTTTGAAGATATAAGCTCATCCTGATGTTACATTTATCAAGAGCTTTCATTTGAGTACCCACATGGATTTTTGATATATTTTTCATATATATATATATATATAAAATATATGAAAAATTGATGTGGGTATTTAAATGAAAGGTCTCGATAAGCCTAACATCAAGATGAGCTTATATCTTTAAAATTGTCAATATTTCTCAAGATACAAGGTCATTTCTTAATTAAGTATCTAGAACTTATATTAATTATTGTTTCAATATTGTATTTTTTACTTATAATTAAGTGCAATTCACAAAAATTTTCACATTTTTTAGCAACATAAAAAAATATCTTTAAGCCATGAAATTTAAAAACACAAATATTTTTTAAACAAGCTTCACTTCGCCAATCAAAAATGAAATTTTGAACAGCAAAATTCTTAATTATCTTGTTTACTCAATCGATCCACTAATTGTTTAAACGCAGTGGCCAAGAAAGCAATCCAATAAAATTACAAAAAAAAAAAAAAATGCAAGTGCTAATTAACTAACAGTTAAATTACTGATGCAATTAGTATACCTTTTACCAGTATTAATTGTTAGCCAATTTATTTACAATACTAATAATAATAATGTAGATGCTGAAAAAAAAAATATAAAAAAAATAAATGAGATGACAAATGCGGTGCATACCTATCAATCATAATCAAGCGATTTATATGTTTCTTTTAATTGTGCAGAAGATGAATTTTTTTTGCTTACTCGGTGATTGAGTGAAGTTTCTTGAACATTTTCCAGGTTTCCAGTGACCGTTTTCCGGTGATTCGCCAACTTCTCGCGGTTCATAGGTGAACCTAAAAACCCGATAGTCTCAACAATTTTTCCAAGTCATTCATTTTAATTTTTTAATCCGAGCGATTAATTTATTTTTTAATTTTTTTCAGCAGTTACGTGCATTTTTTATATCATGCATCAACATTCTCTAATATTATTTTTTTTTAGCGTTTTAACAATCGGTGGAATTGTTTTATTAAAAATAAATTTAGTATAAAATGAGGTACTATGTAAATTAATTAATGAATTAATTTAATTACTTACCAATATAACTAAGTAATACAGGCAAAAATATTAGACCGTGTGCTGCTCCAAAAATAACAATCCCCAAGTACATTCTAAAGTAAAATACCTGAAAAATAAATTTTATTTTTTTAATAATTTATTTACAAGCTAAAGTTATTTTTAAAAAATTTTTAATAATATTACCTTGAAAATTTGGCTTTTAGCAAAGCCAAGGACAATAATACCACCAAATTTGGTGAGCGTAATACCACTAAATATCGAACTTCCCATATTTGTAACAGCATCTTCCACTCTTTCTATTCTAGTTTCTCTGACAGATGTGGAGAATGAATGGACAAGATGACTGCAAAATTCGACGGATATTCCCACCGCCTAAGAAAAAAAAATTAATAATGTTTACTATTTTTTAAAATTCGGATTAAGAGAAAATTCACTCTTTTACTCTATTAAACTCATCAAGAGCTTTCATTTGAGTACCCACTTGCATTTTTGATATATTTTTCATATATTCATATATATATATATATATATATATATATATATATATATATATATAAATAT